CCTGTATATCAGTATGTATGTGACCTCAAGTTACTCCGTTCTCCGCTTGTAATTATGCCGTTACAAGCTTCAAAGTTATATTTATCATCTGAATTTGCCAAAACAAATGTAATATTCTGAAAGCCAAGACTTTGTTTATTTAAAATCAAACAAAACACCCGAACCCCGACAAACTATTTTTTTACACAAATCCACGTTTATTTTGAAATGTTGCGACTTCCGACTGATTTCGATAGAGCGGTCACTATTCAATGCATGCAGATAATAAAAACAAGGAACAATCATTCCCTTAAATTGATTTTCCAATTATTCTTCCTCTGGCTACAGTATTCTAACTTTGCCTAAAAAAGTGGCTGATATTATCTGAGTACACAGAGGTTTTATGAAGGTAAGAGAGGATTCTTTTATTTAAAAGTCCAACACTGGGTACAAACAAATATGTAATGTATCTGTATTTGCTGAACACACTTTAATAGCAAAGTCTATTTGCAAGACTGTCCCCAAATATGTGAAACTGAAGGGAAACCATGTTGTGTTCATCCCCTCACATGAGAGGAGCCTTTGGCCTGGAGAGTCACTCACCTTTCAACAAGGGGCAGATTCTGGCGAGAGCATGCACTGGCCCTAATCGAGTGTACTGCCCAATAGAAAACTCCATGAAGAGCAGAGGAAGGCCACACAGGAGCACCATGGTAAGATAAGGGAACAAGAAGGCACCTGCAAAAGAAAGGAAAATTATTTAAAGTATTTACGATTTAAATAATGCAAGACATGCCGTTTAGATGTAGCATTCTGCACTGAGTTGAATACTGTTTTTAAAAAAAGAACATTCACTGAGTGACAAGTTTCTGCTTAACAAATGATTCTTTAAAGATGTAAATATTTAATCATGAAAAACACATCCGTAGCTGTTTCTCCTCAGGTAGAATACTAGCACATATATGTAAGTAACTATTATTAATACAGTATGTCTTAATTGGAAGTGGCAGGATAAGTTATTTATTTAGATTAACTACAAACTCACGTCAATTCAGTGAAAATAAAAGCTGAGTGCTGAAGCTCGTTTAATCACAGCCAAATGCTGAGACGAATTGTGCTGATTCATCCTAGCTCGCAATAGATGAGAGACAACATTTACTTTATAATGTTTCTGTAGAGTGATTGTTATTAAACATACAGTTGTCAAATATGTAGTGTGTTCTTAATCAATTATTTGAAGAGAATTTTTTTTACCTCAGTTTTAAAAACGAGACCTGTTTCATAAGTTCAAATATTTCCCACGGTCCAAAACAAGGCAGGGACTATTTTTTATCAAACGGTGTGAACGTACATGTGAGATCTAACGCATACTTGCCACCCTGTGCAGAGTTACCTGGCCAGTAAATTATTGGGACCACTACCGCCCTCTAAACAAAGTTGTTTTTCTATACAGAATGGATGAAAGGCTGTTTGGATGACAAATGACTTAAAACACAAATTCAATAAAGGATACGAATGATAAACAGATATGCTTCAAAAATGCTGTTTAACTTGTTTAAACCCTAATGACTGAGTTATATGAGTTACTCATGTAACTCATATGAATCCCTCTGCATGTGACTGCATGTGAGGAGTCTGTACATTTATACATACACAAAAAGCTATAAATATTTTTAGTTTGAATAATAAATAACATGATCTTTACAGGAGCATTTTGGACATTATTGGTACATCACACATCATCGTGATCAATCACATTTGAATGCAAAGACAATGGTTTGTAGTTTGTACTAACTTTCCCATATGTGTTCATGTAAGTTCGTGTTAGTTGTATGTATGTAATCTGTAGGCTAACTCATCCCTAAAGTCCCCCAAAATAAAATGGGTGAGGCTGCTTTTATCCACTACGCTCCCAAACTGTGGAACACCCTACCACACATGTGTTAAACTCAAGGCCGGGGGCCAAATCAGGCCCTTGGTGGATTTAATTTGTATAGGCAATAATTTAAGCTTTGTTAGTTCCAGGTTTAATATGTGCAATAAGTTCATTTCAATAAGTTTTGCAATAAACATTGAACCAGTCCGGCCCTCGACTAGTACCCATTTTTTTATTTTGGCCCACTGTGTGTTTGAGTTTGACCCCCCTGCTTTAGACCATATTAGATATACTTTATTGATCCCAGTTATATAAAATCTGTTTTGTTTCCATTTTGTGCAATAGCCTCAGGATGCATGAGCACAAGCTGACCCATTATTTACGATGGTTTATCACAATTCAAATGAGCATTTGGCAGAAAGAAAACACTAAGAATAGTAGACGTGTGCCAGAAACAAGCAAGAAATAGGAAGAATGTTCCTTACAGATGTAAACATTGTCATAAACCAAGCAGCTTTCACAATATTCACAATGCCTCAGACATTACTTTTAAGAAAACTCCTCAGGGTTCCTTTAAAATGACTCTTTTATGTGTAAAGTTTCGCCTTAATTCAGCCTGAATTATTTCTTATCACAGCTTTGAAACTTTCTGATCAAGCGGAGCTAGAAATAAAGTTTGAGCAAAGCTTTGAAAATCAGCCCAAACTTTACTATTTAAAGTCCTCGGGCATGCAGGGCTACTGTATACATGTTCAAATATGTGTATAAAGCCTCCAGGAAGAGATGTGTGGAATCTGATATCGCCTCAGGGCTCTGAAAACTTCAAGTTCAAAACAAAAATGGAGGGTTTTGAGTTAGAAATAAGTGTTTTTAAGAGACTTCTGTAGCATAACACACCTTGGTCTCTAACAGAAGTGCAGTGCATTGTGGGTAATGTAGGCACAGACATTCTGCATTCATTTAAAACAAAATGAGGGTGTTAGGAAGTAGTGATCTTCTGTAGCACAACACACCTTGATCTCTAACAGAGGTGCAGTGCATTGTGGGTAATGTAGGCACAGACAATGATAGAAAAATAAATAAAAACGATTGTTCTTCTGCATTCATGTTGTATTAAATCAGCCTCTTGATAATGGGAACAAGAGCCCAACGTCCTCGCCTTACAGGGTTTTACGATCCCTTCTGATACGAGTAAACAGAAGCAAACACTCCTCCTCTCGCTCCACATTGTTCTGCTGAGGGAGGATTACGCCTGCCCAGTGTTTTGGTATTTAGTTCTGCTCCATAATGCTCTTTAATTTCATTCGCCTCCTGCAGTCTTCCCCCCGTAGTCCCTTAATCAAATAGTAATCAGTGTTGTTCTTCCGTGGTTAAACATTTAGCTCCCCTCAAAGCCAGAGAACAACACAAATTCATCTGGAGAGACGCAGACATGCGTTTCAGGGAAAGCTATGAGGCCAAGTCTGTGGTTTATTTATCCGAGGGGGTTTTGTTACAGAGTTGAAAAAAGGGGAATTTGTATGAAATGAATTATGAAAATGGAACAATGTAAGTGTTTGGTTTGCAAAATGAAAACACGTTTCTTCAGAAATGCTGAAAGACAAACTCCAGAAATCATTCAGGATCGGAGCTAAATGACATTTCTTATGGGTTCCTAAAGCCAAGGCATTCAAAATATAATTGTTGTGGCCACTTGTATGTTTTTGTTTCATTGCTCAATGGGGTATTTAGGTGACCTCAGTTTTGACCGTGTCATGCTGTTTTTGGAATAAATAAATGGTATTTAATAGAAAGAATGTTGTGGTCGTAATTGGAGACCGCACGCGTCTAACTAAGTGTCAAGCAGTGGCGGACTGGCTATCGGGACGTTCGGGACGAATCCCGATGGGACTGAAGTGGGCCGATCTGACGATGTGGGCCAGTCGGATAAGTCACGAGCACCCCCCCGACAATTTACTAGCCGTACCGAAGTGGGCCGGTCGAGAGCCCCGGGCTGATTTTAGTCCCAGTCCGCCCCTGGTGTCAATCCATGGTGATATTGAGCGGCGATAGTCACCACAATAATCATTTCAGAGATAAAGCCATTTTAAACCTTGCAACAACAGGCTTTTCCTAAAATATCTGGGGCTCATTCTGCAGGGAAACTTGAGTTGAAACATGAATGCAAAAAAGTACAAAATTATAGCAATTATTTTAAAAGGGGTTATTTTCCAAAGTCCCATAAGAGGAGCTCTAGCAGTGTTTTGGATCGTTGGAGTAAAGCTTTGATGATGTTTCAGAATCACATGAATATTTATGTGTCTGTTGCCTGAAATCTCAAAAGCAAATTGGAGCATTAGCTCGACATCACTGTGCGATCTTCCCTCTGCGTTACAAGAGAAACGACCAAAACTGAAGTTGGGCTTTCAACAGCAGCTGCAGCAACACGTGATGTCATCAGTGTGAGATTCACCGCGCTGCAGCTGGATGATGACATCACCACAGGGACAGATTAGAGGCGTGGGAAAGGACAGTTGGCTTCATTTCCTAAAAGCAATCTGCTGTGAAGAGTAATCTGACAGAGCTGCGAGAGGAGAGGGAAACCAAATCTGCATCCATATATTTATTTTGTTTTATATGTTAAAGGTGTGCTTATTTCTGCATTTTACAACTCTGTCATTTGCACCATTTGATCACCCTTTTCATGTTTTATGTATGCTGTACGTAGCAGCCTTGCATTTTCCGATTGTCATTGCCAATATCAATAATGCTGTAGCATTTCCCTCCGAATAATGGTCGTAGGCTTTACTGATGAACCAGAATGTATTCAAACTCCAGACCCAACGTAAGAGCTTGAGCCTCTTCGGTGGGTGCTAACATTTAAATACTTCCTGTCAGCCGCGTGAACTTGCCTTCAAAATAAAAGCATAGAAATGATACAGGAAGTTCACCTAAATTACATTATAAGATATATATAAAACTGCAACGAAAGCAACAAAAACAATGCAACATCCTCTTCAGTCTCAAATAACACAAATTGGGTTATCCACAAGCACTTTTCATACTTCACGTGCAGCTCAAAGTGCTGTATGAAAGGACAACACATCACAAGTAAAAAAACAAACAACAACAAGTTCCCCTGAGATCAGATGTTAAAAACTTTACAGACACATGCAGCATAGCAACAACATATAACATGTTAACAGAGAGACACGAGGAGGTAAAAGGTATGATAACAACAAACACATTTAATTAATAATGATTCCTCTCGGAGAAGAAAACACACAACTAAGTCAATCAATGCAACAATGTATAACCATATAAGATAAAGTAAACATATAGGTACAATAAAAAGAAAAAGATAATAGCAATACAAAAAGTCATAATTCTAAGAAAGGTTATTTGATTAAAATATTAAAAGATCAACGTAAAAGGAAATGTTACTATTAAAACTGTTAAATAAATAATATTATATAAAACCCTTTAAGACCTATATCATAAATACAATAATATAAATATTATTATATATTATAAGTGTCAGGGGTTCCTCACTATTCCCTAAAGAGCTTCTGATTCACCCAAAACAAACTAATTTAACTACCCTTTGTGACCGACATCTTCTTAGTTTCCCACTTTTTCAGAAAAACACAATCTGGGGTAATTAGTTCAGGTGTTTTAAATATCAGTTTATTTATAATTTGTTGTCCCAAATCAGTGTCTTCATAAAGTGTTTTCACTCATATGAAAATATACCTGCCCATGTTCTCAAACCTCTTCACAGTCTTGCTGAGGTTTGTCGTCCCTCTAAAAAGAGTTGAATCATGATTCCTGTCAGCTCTGCATCCGCTGCACCTTCTCCATGAGATGATGGTGACTCATAGGC